ATAAAATCGAGCTAGAAAGAGCTTTCATATCCATGAACGTCCTTGAATATCTCATTCTCCCAAACCCCGGAAACAGTTTTTCATTCACCAATTATTTACGAATAATTCAGTGATCTTTGCTCAAAGCATAAAATAAATATGAAGCGTAAGAGAAATTTTATTCCTTACACAAAATAAAACTGAAGGACAAAATCATCAGAACAACAATCTACAAATGAAAAAACCGACAGAATGCAAGTTCGTTCTCATGGAACTCAGAGAAAAAGAAACCATGTGTGGGACACATTCATTTATTTATATGTTAGTAGAAAACTATTTAGAATACCCAAACGCTTCTCACTCTCATGAATTTATGAGCACAAAATTGATAGGAGTATAAAGCACTGGGTAAAAATTAGTCCTAAGTAATCAGAAGTCATTTTCATTTTTTAAAATATATATTTATAAGCAAAATTCTGTGAGAAAAAAAAGAACGCAATCCCATTTATTTCAAAAAATTTTTGGATTAGAAAAGGTAACCAAATTTTGAATTTGAAAATTTGAAAGGAAAAAAGCAGATGTCAGAAGTAACTCTACTTTGTATAAGCAAAATAATGACATAAAATTTAGAAAAAAGCATTGAAATATGTTTTCCAAAGTATCAATAAATAGAAACAAAATTTTTTCCAAAATTAATTTTCTGAGTCCACACCAGTTTTATTACATGCGATATCCACGTCCACGACGTAACAGTGTGGCACGTCCTCCACGTTGCATAGAACCCGAACTTTGATGAGTTGCATCACTGCTAAAAATCGATATTTTCAAAACGTTATTTCGCGACACATTCTAAAAGTCGATTAAATCACTAAAACATTTCGCCATCCAAAAAATGGATGACGAACAATTGTTGGATCATTCAGGTTACCGAAAAAACATATCTCACTATAAACAGTCCAAGATCATAAAAAATCGTTAATGCCACAAGTTATAAAGTAATAAATCAAACAGTCAAAACAAGACGGTCCGAAGCTAAACACATTAGTTAATAACAAATTACTGGATTAATCGTGAAATGAATCTAATATCACAGAGTTAAAAAAAATGAAATTCTAATCTGTTGACACTTCACAGCCTAACCGCTAAACGCTTGAATGGAATGGTTCTATTAATCAGTTTGCAATCACAAACAATTCTCACAGAATTACGATATCCATCAAGACTGCTTGATTAACTTGCTGTTTGTTTAAGAATTCATTACCTGCTTGAAGTGGGTTCCGTTATATCGGGATACCGTATCCTAATACGTCTGGTTGTTGACCCATCTGATGTACTCGGTCCCGAAGACGCTGCTTCATCGTCCGTTTGTGTAGCATGCCTGTCTCCTTGCTCCTCTTCGGCCACATCATTTCCACCTTCTTCAATCATCAGTGCATGTTCACTCTCACCACTATCAACATCTGTACCTGTTATCGGAGCAACCGTACTTGATGCGCCACGACTATCAGATTCAATGTTTTCTATAAGTTTTCTTTTTTTTAGAATTTACAGAAAACATATGATCAAACAATTCACCAGTTTCTCATGCTCAGAATGACAGTACTTCAAGACCAAACTTCATCAGTTACAGCAAAAGTGTCATAAAGTACATCAATATCCGTTCCAAAAATCATATATGGATATTAGATGGCAAGAAACATGCATACCTATAAGCGGTGGCGAGTCACGTACCACGTGCAATTCTGAACCGGATACAACTAAACGAAACAACATTATTTCCAGCCATTTAAAATTCTATTAGATTCCAATTCTTCAGATAAAATCAAATTTATCTGGTTTCAAGAATAACTTACCATCACCACCTTCTTGTGAAGCTGTATTCAATGAATGGGGTTGCAAATCAAGTTCTGCCACCGGTACATAAAGCGCTTCCGAACTGTAGTGCCTAAAATGAAAAACATCAGATCATTTAAAAAAATTTTTACGGACAAAAGTTAATAAAATACATTATAATTACATTTCGCTATATTTTTAAATACATTTTTAAGGACAAAAGTTTGCAGATCTTAGAAGTGATGAGTCAAGTATCCTTTCGATGTTTAATAATGAAAAATTAGTCAGTTTGAAGCTTTAAACTCTGTTCGATATCTGAAAACCACAGAAACTTGAAATATTTCTTAATAAAATGAATTATAATTACCATTCGCCATATTTCTAAATACAAGTCATGAATAATTTTTAACAAACTTAAAGTAAGAAATTCTTACTCTGAACGACTTGCATCACCTTCACCCGTACGATCTGCAACAAAACCCTGCGATGTTGATGAATCCATATGCGAGGTAGCACTGGATTGTTCCGCAGCAGTTTTCAAACTGAGTTCCATCCGCCGAATGGTTTCCCCTAATGTATTACAGAAATCATTCCAAATAAAAAGATGTGGAAACAAAAGAAAAGGAACAATTTGATTTATTGGTGATATAGCTCTACGAAAAATTAATGTAGAATTTAAGTCCGGAAATATGCAAATTTGAAACGAAACAAGCGAACCTTGGACGTTTTGTCGTTCACGAGCTTCAGCAGTGCTCGTTTCTAAATCGTCATCAACAACAACTGAACGTTTGCGATCCTCACCATGTGCTTCATCCATGGAAAGATCTGCTGGGGAGTGTGAATGCTCCATTTCACCATCATCTTCATCTTCTATTAGAATAACACCATCATCCTCATCACCATCATTTACTGATTCCTATGAGTTGTCTACATTAGGAAATTCTGATGATCGGCTTACTACTAGAAACTCTTCGAATTCGAAATGGATCAAGGTCGATTTTATGCATACCTGTTAACCCTTTATTAGAATGTAAAACGTTAACAGACAATGCAGATTACCTCAGTCCAAAAAGAAATCATTACAGTAAACATGAATATTTCACAAATAATATACCCCGAAATTTCATTTTTTGAAAGTGAGATATTTATAAATTTTTGGCATACCTACTAATACGCTCTGAGGGAGCAAAAGACAGAAATAGCTCCGGAAAAGTTAAAAAGTTAGGGAACTACAAAGCATTAAGCTTAATTTTCAGAAAATTTTTAACTCAAGCCTTCTAAATTTTTATGCATGCCACATGAAATGAGAAAAGCCAGCCATTCTTGAACACTCTAAATTTTGCAAAAGTGCATCTAATAACAACTAACTAGATGCTGTCTAGCTCGCGAAGAACGGTAATCAGATCTTCTATAATTTGGAGGTAGATCGAAATCACCCTCTTCATCTGGTTCCTCTTCATCAAATTCTTCATCCTCCATCTCTTCTAACATTTCATCGCCCTACAAAATTCAGTGATTTGCAAATATAACTTTGTATTTTTTGGATTAGGATGGAATTATTTGCATCGAAATTAATTTTCTTCATGGAGGAATATCAAGTATATTCTGCAATTTAAATCGAATAACATCAAATCAGTCTTTCAACTAACCGCTTCTTCACTAAGATTATCCTCATCTGCTGAAGCTTCACGCCCAATATCTTCGCCAACTATAACATCGTGTCCATTATCCTCCATTTGTTCCTCAGCATGCCCTTCTTCTTGCGCCAATCCCTCACCAACCGTTTCATAACTGACATCGGCACTAGCTTCCTGCAAAATTAATCAAATTTTCGAGGTTAATCTGCAAGAAAAATAAACTGCTGGGTTAAAAGTTCTATGCATATGTTATACTAATTCTATTAAAAAAAAAAATTTCTATGATGAAAAACATGTCAAAAAATATTGCAAATGGAATGAATCATAACCGAAACTAAACTAGTCGTCATGAAGATCAATGGAAGATCAAAATTAAGAAATTTAAAAAAAAAAAACCTGGACTTCACTAGCCGATTTAGTATTCTTTTCTGCTTCGTTCGTCCTCATGACATCCGATCGGTCACCTTCAGGATTTGTAGTTGTTTCAACTGTCAAAAAATAATTAACAACAATAATATTATTCATCCAATTAATATTAACACTAGCATTATATTGAAAAGGTTACTTTCATTTTGCAACACTAAACTAACCACTTTCTTGCTGTTCATGTTCAGCTTCATCCGTAGCATGCTGTTCGATATCAATTCGTGATTCACTTCCTGATTTTATGAAACGACCACTTGTGGAAACCTTTCAAATACAGAAAATCAGTGTTTGTTTAGCTACAAATTAAGAGAATATATGAATCCTATTTCTTTAATCAACTTCTCAACTATCCCTTCTTCCCACCTCCCTTAAAACTCAAAAATTCTGAGTACATTAAATCTTCACAAGTTAGAAATCATTTGCAAAAATTTCGTGCACATAACAAGAAGGAGTCATACCTGCCCCATAGGACTTCCCCTATAACGCTTTCGCGGTTCCAAAACATCCGATCCCGTTTCAATTTGATCACTGAAAATTGCATATCAAACCGCTGGTTCGAATAAAATAGGGAAAATTAAAGGGGAAAATATGAAAGCGATGAAAAGACGCAACCTTGATGGTATGTATGTTCGTTTCCTTGATGGTTCATTTTCATTACGGGTTATCAAAATCGATTGTGGTCCCACTTGTGACACGATTCCTTGTATTGCAGTTGGTATATCTCCACTTGCTACACTGCTTGTGATGATATTCGCTCCATCACCATTACCAGAAGTAACTATAAAGCAATGTTAAGTTAAAATCCGTAAATTAATTACAACTAATTATCGAGTTAAACTACTGCAATCAAACCCCAGAATGAAAATTATCATCAAATATCATACAGTCCTCAGTAATGATGTGTGAAAAGGCGAAAAAAAAACCTTTTCCAGGCCCTATCCTCCGTGAACAGTTTCCTCATACTGTAATATCAAGAAGCTATAAATTGTTCAAAGGAAACATAAATTTTAATCTGGAAACTTGTAAACTAACCATTATGCTGTTGTAATCGTACTTGAATAATATCACCAGAAGATGATTGGCTCACAGTATTACTCTGCAAAAAATTACCTGTAAACCCCTTAGCATTCAATTATTTCAAAGTTTGAAAAAATACATATAGCTGTTTTGTTGAATGAAAAAGAAATTATACTGAGAACTACCTACTATAACATTTTCTGAAGTAAATTACTGCTTCACTGTCAGCGAAAACAATGCATTAAAGACGTATCATCTTGGCAGTAGATCTGATGGATCTGACTGTCATTATTATTTTTTAGACCATAACTACACTGACATCCCCCATATTATTAAGTAATGAGATTTAAAGGTTTTTGGAATAACAGTTCTGAATGCGGTTGCATATATCAGAATAACTTCCCAGTACAACTCAATTACAGTTTTAAAATTTCAAATTCTAGGAAGTGTTGATTTAGGAACTACGAGAAATCCACCAGATTCAATTGTATTTAAGAAATATCTACACATATGCATGAGTGATAACCTAAGCGGCGGATGAATCAAAAGGGCTAAAAAGACCCTCCGAGAAGCTAAAGATTAATTGTATTTAGCAATTCTTTGATAATAGATGATGTAATGAATCGAAAAGGACATTCTAAATTTTAGAGTCTTAGTACATTGATATATGAACGTATGTCAGAAGTAACAACACCTGTTCACTAGTTGTTGATACAGGTGTACTTCGATGTGTTTCTTGTTCTTCGATACTTCCAACTATTGCTACTTTTTGTTTTGCGTCTTCATACTTCTCATTCTGCGTAGCGTCTACCGTCGCAGCCGGTTTAACAAGCGGCATTGATTGTGAAGTCGTTGGTGTTTCTGAAACATATCAAGTATAATCTTTTCCATAGCGAACGGACAAAAAAGTGGAAAAAATACTCCTTTACTACCGTTAATCTTGAAGAATTTTCAAACAAAAATAATATTTCCCTGGCTTATTCGGATTCTAAACTTATATAGCCTTCCGATACCATGTCATCATCAATGTTAGTATAAAACACCATCGAGAATTTTTAAAGTTAAGCGTACTCCTGAATAAAATGATATTTACCTTCTTTAGACAAGGGAGAGAAATCTGGTCCAGCAGTGTTGGTAGCAGGGAGCGCATCAGTAGGAGAACTCTGACTCTGAGAAATCACAGGCGTGGACGAGCTAGAAAAATGTCGTGGTGAAATCCAAATTCAAATCACTGAGAAATTTAACACAAATCGTAATTATCACATTACCTGACTTGTCTTTGGAATATATGCAATAGGGAAGTCTCCGTTAAGATGAAGTGATTCAGCAATAAAAATGACGTTCGCAATTTCAGAAGGCAAAAGTTCGTAGGTTGCCTCGGATAGCAGATAATTACAAAAACATGAACTGTCCATAACAAAAAATGGAATTAGACAGTCTCCCACGAAAAAAATTACCTAACAGATTTAACAAATGCCGTGCCGGAAAAACCATGACGATTGCTGGCTTCCTTACGACAAATGTCCAATGTAGCTTCTAAAACTTTTATCTTCCCTTGATAAGCCTCGTCTGATTGTTTAGCTGTTTCAAGTTCTTCTCGCAGTCGAGCGACTTCTTGTTCTTTCTTGGTTAACATACTTGTGATTGAATTTAATCGGAAACGTAACTCTTCTGCAAAACTATTTTTCTACAAATTCAGGGCGAAAACGAGATGATCAAATCAAGTCGGGAATCAGGATTTACCAAAACAAAATATAAAATTTAGCATGAAATATGAGAATTACCAAGAACGCGCTAAAAGATTTATTAGCTTGTTAAGAAATACCCTTTGTATCACTTTCTGTTTTCATTTCTCTGAATTTAGCCTCAGCTTCGCTCAGTTTCGCCTGCGCTACTTTGTACCTTTCGGCGGACTCTTCCAACTGTTTGGACAAATCCTAAAATCAACCCTAAACTGCTACAACTAAAAAAGCATTATCGATGGAAAAAAAAAGATTTCAATAGATAATCACAAACTCCATCCATAACAATCTGTTGCATGGCTGAGCAAGAGCTGAGTAGTACCAAAAACATAACATGAAATATCTCCAAAAACTTTAAACAGATTCGAATAAATCATTGACTAAATAGCCCGCTATGTAATAAACCATATGGTTAGAAGATCGAAATTGTAAGTCCTTTCGAAAATGTCCCATACGGTTTTATTCGGCTACAACAAACGGAAATGCATCGAAATACGTTTACCCAGGTTAGCAGAGAACGGTTATTCAAGCTAAATTCCCATCAATTTCTAAGTTAAAAAATTCCAACCTTATTTTGTTGATTGAGTCCTTCCAATTGTTTCAACTGTGTTTGAAGAATTGTGCTTGCTTTCGTTGGTTGTGTACCACCTGTTCCAGCATCAACTGGCCAACCAGTTCGGGGTACCACTTTCTGGAAATTTTGCAAAAAAAATCAAATTAAGTGATGAAAGAATGTTATCATTCACTTTAATGCTGATAGGCCCGAATAGCAATTGAAAGCCTAAACTGAAAATTATATGGAACAGTTATGCAATCAACTGCATATAAAAATGCATTACCTGTTGTTTCTGTTTCTCAATCTCAGCGCGTAGTGCAAGCAATTCCTGCCTCAGCTTTGCAGTTTCGGTAGTATTTTCCTCTTCTACTATTGATTTCTCAGCCAGGATTGCTTTCAGTCCTTCAACATCTTTTTCTAATGTTTGAGATTTCATCCTGTATCTACGTGCAAGTAATCTAGCTTGTTCAAATTTTGCTGATAGTTTGAGCCGTTCCGATTCACTTTCATCAAATTTCTTCTGCACATCCACCAGCGCTTCCCTGGAAACAATTTCGTAATAGCTTTATTAAAATGATAATGGTAGCGGGATAAATGGGTTCACTTCCGTGCAAAATTTATGCTTCAAATGCAGAAGATTATGATATGCTTTGGAAGCTTCGATATTGCTGAAGTTTTCAATCAATATACAAACTGTAAGTTAACCCAGATTCAATAAATTCGACTAGATTGCTACCCGAGAAAGTCCACCAAATGGTAGCACAGTCTTGATTCAAAAGAACTTAGCCGCTTTACACTACTCACAAGGCCTTCCTAAGTGCATCAAATTCCTAAAATTAGATCCAGCAAAATTAGAACAATCAAACTTTACAAAATCAATTTCCAATTCATAGTAAGGTGTAAAACCTGTGGAATAACGCAAGATTATCGATGCTCACTGATATGACTTTGAAGTGACTTACTTAAATGTTGATTCTTGAGATTTTTCTATTTCTCTTTTCAATGAATCACGCTCCGTTGTTATTACACTTAGTCTGCGTTTCAGTGATTCAACTTCGTTACTAAAAATTTAAACATTTTTTATCAAGATGAAAAAGGCCTGAATATTAAATTAAAAAATCAAAATAAACACGGAAGTAGGGAACATCAAAAACGTTTACTTTAAAGCAACTATTCTTTCGGGTCCAAATTTACCCAATGAAATCAAAGCTTGATTATGCCGTTCCTTCCAGGATTCAAGCTGAAAAAAAAATCCCAATATATTTGTCAACAAATAAAAACGGGAAATCGACTTTTCCAAAATTCTTCAGGGTATTATTCGAAAGGCCATTCAACAAAAACTTAAAAAACATCTAAAAACTGGTAATATGGTCGAAAATTGATGGAATCAAAGAAATACATATCATTACTTCTTTCCGACAAGTTTGCAAGTCGGCGCAGACGTTCTGTAATCTTCCTTTTTCCGTGACTTTTTCTGCACCCAAACTAGCAATACGTACTTGCAAATCGTTTATCTAAAAAAAAAAATTAGAAATATGGTCAAGTTATACTTATCCTTTTGGACTTTCCACGTCAGCCCTTAATTATTGATAAATTGAATTATTTCACACATTTTTCGACAGTTGTTCATTGTGACGAGTTAATTTTTCATTCTGTAATTTTATGTTCTGATTTTCTTTTTGTATATCTTCCATCAACGTCAATCGTGCTACCATTTCACTTTTTTCCGCAATTGAACGAACATGTGCCTAGAAATATAATGATTTAGGCAATCGATAGAGCCGAATTTTAGTGATTTCGGCATTATCAAGAATAAATTTCTGTATATTGAGTGCACGCACAGGTTTATCTAATTATGACAATAATTTATATCGATATTAATTTCGTGCCTCCAATACAAAAAAACTGTGATAACAAAGCCAAATATGAACTGAAACAGGCAATGAGCAATGGGGCAATCCAAATGAATAGCAATGGTAAAATAAACAAACTTCAGCCTCTCTCCGAAGTTTTTGAATTTCTTCTTCCAATTTTAGTCGGTTTTCGTCAGCCGTGGCTTGTTGAACTTGCAAACGCTTCCATTGCAGTTCAGCATTCATCATTCGTTCCATAGCCTAAATGCAGTACAACTAAAAAATTTAAAAAAAATTTGAAAAAATTTAATAATTACTTGAATTTTGGGGGTTCATAAGTCTTGAAACATAATGTTTCAGCAGCAAATAAAAGAAACGACGTTACTTGTCGATTTTCTCCTTGTAAATATTTGATAACTTCATACATCGCAACAGCTGATTTCGAACCAACAGGTGCAACATCTTCACTAGAAGTCGAAGCGCTTCCAGAACGTTCCAAGACAGCCATACGTTCCGTTACCTGCAACGAATTACTTAAGATGAACGTAATCCGAAAATTATTCTCGCAAACTTCTCTTTATTCAGATGAAAAATCTACAGCAGCTATCCTAATCCTATGGTTTGGACCCTGCATTTGTTTGATTCCAAAACAGTCCAAAATTTCAAAGATCTCACAGAAATATTTGAACTGAATAAACTGCAGCAAATCTAGTTGTCATCAGTTTTACCATCCAAATATATTTCAGGACCGTATGTCAGAAATATTCACCTTTATTAAATTATCACCCAATTCTTCGAGCTTCTGCTTCTGCTCGTCAATTAATTTATTAGCTAAACTGAGTTCTTCCTCAAATTGATTCTTTTCAACACGAAGTGCAGCCTGAAAGTCGCTTAATTAGCTGAATCATTATGGAAATGGACTCCTGCGCTTGTAAAATAAGGAAATAATGAAAGCAAAGACAATTGACAAATCACAAACCACTTCCGATGAACAGCTTCGCCTAACATCTTCTGATTTTTGCTCAAGCCCAACTGCAGTATTTTTCAAATTGACAACTTCAGCGTCCTTAACACGAAGTGCTTGTTCCAGTTTGCTGATGTCTTCTTTCATTCGACTGCTTTCTTCGTCAAACTACGCAAGGGAAAAATTTTTATATCATTTAACCGATATGTTCACTGCTCACTGTTTTACCTGTTTTATTATTCAAACAGCGGGTAACAGTTTGTCCCAGACATGTCTCAACGCATCGCTGTCAACTATCGCAATACATCCCCTAATCGCAATCCATTACCAAAATAACATCATAAAGACTTTCCCTTTTAATTACTCAAATGAAAAAAAAAAAATGAAAAGTGAAATCAGTAATATTTTAAAGTCTTATTAAAATTATATCAGAGGAGAAATTTAGAGGGCTACAGAAAATTCCCACCGAAACTTTCGCAGCAGCAATTTTCGTATTTTCTAATTCCAGTTCATGTATCCGAGCTTCAGCATTAGCTCTCTGTATATCCAAAACGCTGCATCGCTTCTCCAAGCCCTGATATTCTTTCATTTTTTCTATTTTCAGCTGCTCCGTTTCAGTGGCCTTTTCTTGTAACTTCTGCTCCAACAGGGCTATTTCCGTTCGTTGATTTTCAACTGCTTTTACACTAAAGAACAGTTTATTCGTCATATCTCATAAATATCTTCTTATTAGATTTAGTAACTGGCTTGTTATTTTTTTCAATTTTTTTTTAATATTTTAAACGCATCATTTCCTTAAATATTTTTTAAAATATTTAGTAATAAGCTTGTATTTTCAAACACTTAATGTGCCTGCATTGTTTGATTAACACTTTAAACACTTAATACGCTTGTATTGCTTGATTTTTTCCACTTAATATGCCTGTATTTCCTTGATTTGCGGGATATGAATTCCCCATTCATTTCAAACTGAAATGTCATATATGGTCCAATTATGACACCGCTACTTCAATGCCAAATCTTTTCAATACCGTCGTAAGTTCATCAGGTATAATAATATCATGATAATAAAAATTCATTGTGAATTACCTCGAATTTAATGTTCTTATTAAGCAACGATCAAAATCTACCAGTATTTCGCTTCTTAATTTTCTAAACCATATAAGGATAAAAAAAAGTAAAATAACCTTTCAGCTAATTGCCCTTTTACTAAATCCAGCATCGCCTGCAGACTATTTCGTTCAGCAAGAGCGCTCTGTAAAAAGAAATTCCGTAAAAGTGTGTTTTATCATGCAAAATCTGACTACAATTCATTACCGATAATAATCAAAGCAATAAACGAAATTAATGAAAAATGAATAAATTAACTTACTGCTCCTTGTTCGAGTAATGTTGTCTCCATATTATTACTCAATTTGTTAATCTCATTAAGTTCTTGTTCACGTATCGCCAGCATTTTCTCACTTGCTGCAAAATCAGTCCTCTACAAAAAAAAAAAAAAAAAA